TAGGGAAAGGGGGTAGCCAGATGGCCCTGGGGGCAACAGGGCCAAGCCATTCTTTTTTAGCCCCACTGAGTGGGGTGGAGTGACCCAAACAGCCCAAGGTGGGTAACCTGGAGTCTATGCTGTCATATGGCAGCCACAAGCCATGTGTGTCTGTTTAAATTTAAGATAATCAAAATTAAACGCAATTAACAGTTCAGTTCCTCCGTCACACTGGGCCCATTTCAAGCACTCACTAGCCACATGAGGCTGGTGGCTACCGTACTGAACAGTACTGGACCAGGAGCCTCCAGGCTCACTCTTGTGATCCTCACTCTTCACACGTAACTGCTCTGGGACACAGATGAATAAGGAAACTCTCAGAGTCCAAACAGGGTTGAGTTTTGCTGGATGAGTAAGGCTGGGGTAAGGCCTCCTTCCCCCACACAGCATCTGCCTCTCCTGATTAAAAGAGAACTATCAAGCAATCATTTCCAGAACATCCATTTGAAGAGAAGCCAAATAATTAACTTACATCTCCAACTTCCACCTTGTGATCCCTGATGACCCTCCAGGGACCCCTGCCAAGAGGCCCTGGGCTTATCCCGAAGGAAGAAGGGGTAGAGCACAAACCAGACATTCCCTGTGTGTTAGAGGGCGTGGACCTGACCTGTTATTACCACTACAGCAACACAGCCAGAGCAATCAAGGTAGACTATGATTAACAGACCCAGGGCAACTGACCTGAATACACAAATGCTAACAATAGCAGGAGACCTCCTCTAAAGACATGGTATAGTCAAGAGTTAATGCTGAATTCGGTTCACAAGGCAGTCTTCTTTCTGTATGGCCCGAAATCCTAGCGCTGTACCCAGTCGTCCTTTGTCCCTTGTACCTTGTATTACATGTGCACACGTATTGTCTCTCTGTTATTAAACCAGAGATCCATTTTATCCTTGAACCCCATGAGAACAGATGGAGAAGAGATCAGTGCTTGCCAGGGGTTAGGGAAGAGGGGCAGAAGGGAAGTGGTGGCTACAAAAGGGCATCACGAAGGGGCCTCGCAGTGACGACTGTGCCGGCGTCTGCAACCCTAGCTGTGAGAGTGGACTACAGTGCTGCACGTTAGTACCGCTGGGGGAAACTGGGTAAAGCGTACACGGGGTCTCTCTGCAGTGACCTCAAAGTAGAAAGTTTAATGTTTAAAACTCTGGCCCGAGTGTAAAGCCCTGGGAGGGACCCAAAGACAAAGGGGGAACAGGGGACATGTTCCCAGAGGTGTCCTACCTACCAGAAGGGCAAGGGGAACCCATGTCAGAGCCACCCCTGGCCCAGCGTTGATGTAGTAATGCTTCCCAGGGCAACAGCGCTCAGGTAGTGTGCACCCCGGAAGCGGAGGCCTCTTCCTGGGCAATTCACCCCTACAGGAAATGAGAATCAAACAGGGATACTGAGCAGCCAAACAACTATTTTATGTGAACAGAACAGC